GCGATTGGTCGGAGACGCCATGAAGCCTGTTGTGATGGAAATATCTGACTTATCTGTTGTTTTACTGCCGTTCTGCTGTCGGTGGATCTACGTTATCAGTGACTGTCTCACCTGCAGAACTGAGCCAGTGGGCCACTGAGGTGGAACATCTGATAGATAGCTAGAACCTGATTGATCCCTTTGGTAGAACCTCAGGGAAATTGTTAAAATCTGCTCACGTGCTGCAGTCTCACGTCCACTGAAGTAGATCTGACCTCACACGGAGGCTAAAATACTGTTAAAGGTAGATTTTCCTTCAGTTTCCACGAAGGTCAACGAATGAATGAATGATGGAGGGATGACGTGAGCACTGAGGTGGAGCAGCTGCAGGTTGAAACGTGAAGAAGGAAAACGATCCGTTCAGTTAAAATCCAGTCCAGAAGATTCAAATTCTTAAAGAAACATAAAATATTTACTTGAAACCGGAGTTTGTAAAAAACATTTCTCTGTGACCACCAGAGTTCAGATGAGCTGCAGGCAGGATCTGAGCTCATTAAACTGTAGATCGTTGATCATCAACAGTCCGGGGAGCCTCCATGGTTCTGGTGCTAACATCTGGACTTCATGCTGGACATGACGGTTCCTGGGTTTGACATGTTTGTGAAGTAAACAATCAAAGAAATCCAGCTTCTCTCTGGTCTCATGGTTCTGAGTCCTGCTGACAGAAGACATCTCTGAGTTCTGTCTCCTCCTTCATGTGGTTCTGGTTCCTCAGAGCTGCAGGACTTTAGTGAATGCATGAGAAAGCGTCTTCTGTCAGCAGGACTCAGAACCATGAGACCAGAGAGAAAATAAATGATTGTCTGTTTCACAAAACTGTAAAAAGCAGGAACCATCAAGTCCAACGTGATCCACAGATGTTAGACCCTGGAGGCATGGAGGCTCCTCAGACTGGACATCCACTAGAATGACATGGTTCTGACTTTAAATGGTTTGGGTTAATGACTGAACTGGTTTCACAGTTCCTGTATCCTGATCCGTTTTGGTGATTTTCAAAATAAAACATTCTTTCAATCCTGTCAGCAGGTTTTGTGATTCAGGAGGTGAAAGTGCTCCAACATTTAACGTCTTCTGGATATTTAAAAAGAGAAAACTAATGAACATCTAATCATTTGTATTTGTGAACGCTGCATTCTTCTCAGAGAGAGTTTGTCTTTTACTATGAAGTCTGGTTTATGGTAAAACGCTGTCGAGGATGAAAGATACCAAAGCATGTTCTAAAAGTAAGAATAACTGAATTCTAACAAATGTGTTTCTTCATTGCGTCCTGACCTGAGTGGTTTGAGTTTCAGTCGCTGTTTTGCTGCAGAATCAGTTCAACAGAAAAGTCCACAAAGAGCCAAAACCTCCAGCGCTGGTTTCATGTGAACGTTCCATCTGGTGTCTTCTCTCTGTGTTCACACATCCAGCTCAGCTCCAGTGAAGCTGCTCTCACTGTTGTCAGGCAGCAGAACCAGGATGAAACCCAAGCCCACCCACTTGTGTTCTGCACCCATAAAGTCCTGATTTTAGAACCGACACCAAACCCTAACCCTGAGGAGAAAAGCAGCTGGTTCATCTCTGAGCTGGACAACATCCACAAGTCCACGTTCACATCCAGCCACTCTGGTTCCTGAACCCTCCACTAGATCCTCCTCCTCCTCATCATCATCACGCTGCATTTAACAGATAAACTATGTTTCTAGAATCACAAGCAGTCAGAATAAAACTCCTTCAATCAAAAGGTTACTGTACATCTGTGGAGGAACGTCCATCGCTCAGCTTCACAGCCTGATCAGTGGAACAGAACCAGCTGACTGTCGGACAGCTGTACACACG